ACATTCATTTAGTGCATTTGGCCACATGTACATGATAAGAACCCTTTGATGTTCTTTATTTGAGACAAATGTGTTTAACATTAAAAGTATAAAACTCATAAACTAAAAAGGATATTATAATAATATTTATTCTTATAAAGAGCTTCACTCTGGTTGTTTTATCCATGAGCACGAGTGCCATTTCTAAAACAAGCCAGTCTTTTTACGTACGCTATCTAACTGCAGTCACATTTGGAGAATTTGTGCCACACAGAGTGTCTCGTAACTGCGACTCTGTCACCTGGCTGTGCTTGTTGCTATTGCCATAGTCCAGTGTTTATTGTTAATACCCACCACTAGAATCTCATAGTTTTACTGATACACTTCACATATTTGAGTTATTTATACCGGCCCTGTGCTTGTTTTATTTACAAAGTCTACAGGATAGAGAACATATTTATCTTCTTCTTCTTATTTTATTCTTCACAAAGTATCTAATTAAGTCATTACGACTGACCACATGACCACTAAAATCCAAAGAAGGCTGTTTCTTCCATCTGCAGTCATTCGTATTTGGTGGTGTGGCTGATTTTGGCACACCGGCTTACCCGTACTCATGTGAAGCTGGGGTTGAGGTGGGTTACAAAGCAGCTTACAGATGAAAGCAAATGTGAGAAGGCTAAAGTGGATTAAACAGGACACCTGCATTAGATTTGCCAGTTAGCTGACTGTAAATTCATAGTCTGCAAGTTACCAACGCAGTGCTCGAGATAAAGACTATTTGTTCAGAGCAGTTATTTATGTGTCAACGATTAAAATCTCACGATGTGACGGCACTTATCGTAAGACAAAGCTTCAAGCTTTTTAATCGGACCCTTTAGCTCTGCTTCTTGGCTGTACCTTTTGGAGGAAGTAGCTCTGGAAGTTGATGAAGTTGTTGGTCTTGACGATGTTTGGGCAGCTCTTGCAGCAGAACATTCTGGTGAACAGGGACTTCATAGCTGGTGGCCCCTGCCATGTGCTCACCATGGCGTTGGCTATCTGTAAGAATCACAGCGTAACAAAACAAACCACAAGTTACTTTGTTACACTTTTAACCGCCTGATTGTGCAGAACTGCCTCCATCAGCTCCGCTCTGTCTGCTGCCGTCACAGTAAAACAACAAAGAGAAAAACGAAACATTTCAGACTCCAGCAGAGTGCAGGGGATGAAGAAAGTATAATAGCTACAGGAGGAATCTGAGAAACACGAGTGACACGTGAAAAATGTTCTCGCTTGTATAACAATGCTTTGTCTGTCTGTTGCACTTCGTGTGGTGAGAGCTGAGCTACTATAAACAGCAAATGCACACACGAGCAGCTCGCGTGGTTTCCACAGGTATGGAGACCAGCGGCCCCAGCGGTCTATACGCTCCAACAGGATATTGGGGAATTTATGTTAATGTGGTAAAATGAGGGCAAGGGTCACTCATGCAGGATGTTGTCATTTGGTTAGCTGGATAAGGGGGAGGTGGGCTGTCGGATGTGGGGATGCATTCATGGACTGTATCACTGCGTTTGAAGCGTGCTTCCCACATCTTCTACCAACAACACACAACTGATCCCGACCAATCGCAACGCAGCCAAGTCAAGAGAGGAATGTAAAGCCTGCCACGCTACAGCCTGTGGTCAGTGTGAGTGTGGATGCCTGAGTGTGCGTGAGCTTTGTGTATACCAAAAGCCATTATCAGAGTCTGCTGGGGGTCTGTGGCCAAACGCAGCGAGCTAGTGAAAGAAGGGAAGTGCTGCCATTTCATCCTCCACTCACGCTGTGAAAATATTGGTTCAGGTGGAACCTGAAGGATGGAAATCCAGTGGGGTGAAAGTTAGAACAGACCAAAGCCAGAGAACAGAGAATTTCCTGGAGCCACAGAATTATTCAGTCGACTGAGCTGAAGTGCAGCAACATTTAAAGTGGTGGGTGGGCTCGCTGGCGTGGAAACGATGGCCTGTACTCCTGCTGCAGCTCTGTTGTAAGAGTTACAATCAGTTACATTTTTTAGTACTAATATACTGAGTGACCACTGACGTAAATGCAGAGAAACAGAGGAAAGGCCCCTGTTTTTGTCATCTTTGATTAAAAAGAGAAGCAGAGTCACACTGTGAAGCTACTGAAGCTGTTCGCTCCTATGTGGATCCTTCAGTCCTCCCAAAACTTTATTCTTAAAACTTTCTCACGTTTTTATTATACTCCTCCCAGAACACCACCCTCCAGTTTCTGTCTGCTGCTACCAATGAGCCATTTCAAACAGTGACATGTGGAGCCAAACTCAGCATGACCACATCGCTTTGCCATATTAACATCATTGCGGGCGATTTATGCTTGCCGTTGTTATTCTGGCTGATGCCGATGACCACCAAAAGTGATGTCATGACTGCTGGCACATAGTGTTGCACACGTTAGTGTTGCCTCAGTCTGTAGTTGTGTAACCTGGCTCCTTCCTTGTGCTGGGTTTAGCAGGCCTCTCACTAAGGAATAAATCTGTCTGTGACTGCTTTGTGTCCCGTCTCTTCTGTCGTGTTGTGAAGAGGTGACGTAGCTAGCTTTATAGTGACCTCTAACAGATTCAAGGAGTCTAAACTGATATGTGAGCCCACATTAGCCATTTGCTAATATCGGTATTGGCTTTTATGATGGCTGATAAATAATAAAGAGTCAGGAGAAACACCATTCAACCATGTTGTGTTGATGCTGGAGGGTTTGTCCACCAGAGGGCGCTTTGACGCTCCCTGCTGACAG